GTCCAAAATGAGCAAAAGTGATTTTGATTTTACTTGAAGTAACTTTTTTAAAGATAATTTGATGGTGTGTGGGGAGAGTTTCTGAAAATCGAGTTTGACCTTGCAGCAGATAACAAGATGGAAATTGGCAGCAATTTTCCCTCTGAATCTGCATACAACTACTGTCTTTATATGTGATATAATAGCTTCACCCTTACTTGCTTATGCAACACAAAAACGTACTGTTATATTTGAAAATGAGCCCTATTAGTATTTTATGTTTGAAAATGTACTTTGACGCTAACATAAACAATTCAACAACTCAACTTTAAAAACTAAAAGTTTTTAAATGCATTTTGTTGGCTTGTTTTGGTGCTGTCAGGTAACTAAAAACTTCTTGCTACCTTATGAGGCACAACAGAAATCCTTGTTGCTGGTTCAGCTAAATTAAAACGTTCTTCATTCTTTCTCAAACTAAAGTTTCAAAAACCTGGGAGTAATTTTCAATAAAGATGGAAATAGATCATCCATTTTCCATCTGAGGAATACAAGATCGAACGAGTCCTACCACTGAGATCTTTGTCAATGTCTTTCTGTTTTCATGGTTAGACTAGAAGAGTTTACAAGGTCTTCAGAATGTACAGAATCGCACAGCTTGGGTTTTGACATGTACAGTAATAGAAAACATTCACATTTTATTATAGTCTCTCTGCACTGGCTTCTAAGAGAAGCTAGAGCAGATTTCAGGTTAGTACCTTTAACATACAAAATAATAAAAAATAAATTGATACGCAAGCTTTTTCATGCCATGCATCAACATTATACAGCAGTCTACCTCCAGATATTAGGCAGGCATGTTCAGTTGATTTTTCTAAGTCAAAATAAAATATCTATTTCTTTATCATGGTGTATATGTTTTAATATAGCTGTATATCTCTCTGTTCTATAAGGCTTTTAACTGCATTGAACTTTTTAATTTTCATTTTTATTATTTGTTCCCCATTTTAATTTCTTTTATTTTGATTTTATTGTTTGTATAGTTGTATGTATTATTTTTATTGATGTTATCTATTGATGTGCATGTTTTAATTATTACAATTTTGCACACAACTTTGTCATTGGTCTGTTTTTTGTAGAAAAAAACAATGATTAAAAGCTTTTTATGAATTTATTATTTTTTATTATCAATATTAATAAAAATTAAATACAAAAAAACACCAAAACACCTGACATCATAATATCCACATTGAAAAGTTTTAATGGAATTATTAAATGATTGTGTTTTGTATTACAGCATTTGTTGTTCTTTTTTATGTTAATATTGCCTTAATTGATCCATGGGGTTTGGCTTTACTGCTTGAATATAGTCTGATATAGTCTAATTTCTGAGTAAATCTGAACGCTACCATCAGAAAACAGGATTGACCTCAAATATTCTTATTTTACCTAGTTTGAGATAAATAAACAAGAAAGTGATTAGTGCTCTTTTTTTATTCTATACATTTATCTAAAATGCAATTTTTTAAAACTAAACATTTGCTGTTTAGAGCATTAAAAAATAATAATTATAAACAAGGTTTTTACTAACAAATCTTTTTAACCAATACATACTCGTCTTCAAAAATAAATTATTTTTGGCTTACCAAAAAACCCAAGGATACAGTCTTTCAACAAGCTTTTTATTTCCAATCAAACTGCAAATCTGTAATTTAAAAAGACCAAGGTCAGTGGTTATATCCCACCTCCGCAGAGCCTCACAGTAACTGAAGTTTACATTAAGTTTTACTTCAGCTTTTCGCAGCTCATGAGTCTACAGGAATATTTCACATTCATTTGAAACATATCTGCCTCTCTTTTGCAAAAATAAAGCACTTTCTGCATAATTATTATTGCTATCACTGCCGAGTCTTAGAACAGAAACATTCTCAATTCTTTACTGTATTTTTGTTTGTATTTTTGCCTGTTTTTCCATCAGTGTGTCAGTGTTTTCCTGTATTCGTTGTGTGTCAGGGCCACAGTGTTATTGTGTTTTGTTCAGCTGCTTAAAAGCTCCTCTCACGGGAGAAGTCCTACTTTCACCCTGCGTTCCTATGGGTCGTTCAGTCTGACTCAGCCTGTTGTCAGGAGCAGACTTCTCCCTTCTGTCTCTCTGTGTAACACTCTGATCAAAGCAGGGCAAGAATAGCATTGTCAACCCGAAGCAAATCTGCTTAGACAAGAGAGCAACAGAGAGAAAGTTGCAACGTGAGGGAAAACTCCAAGCCTCCTTGAAGAGATTTAGGGTTTGTTAATGAAGTCAAAGCAAGACCTGGGATTTACCGCGTAGAAAATGATTGTGTGTGCATGCATTAGGCTTCTTACTTTTTGTGGCTCATAAGACATCAGGGAATTCAAGGACAAGGCATTTGGATTTCTGATTGTTTGAAGACGCTTACTTCTCATAGTTTAAATAAGGATTCTTAATCCCATTATTTAAGTGTCACAGTCTTATCAGACACAATGTCAATGTTCTGACTGTGTTATTGTGAAAAATGTTAATCCTATGTGGATTTTGTTTTGGAGTTGCTCTAGATGTTTCTTATTGACAACTCATCATGTTATTTCCACTCCATTTGAGCTCTGCTTTCTAATCTTAGGAGTTCTAAGTACAGACTCGACCTAAAAATGTGAGCAGAAAAACAATATTGATTGGTTAAATTATATTGAAAAATGTTTTTCTCATTTATTCATTTGTATCTGTAGTTTTGCAACATTTCCAATGTATAAATCTTCAGCAGAATTTATGAAAATGTACTTCTTTAGTTTAGAAAACCGTTGCCACAGACCTTGAATAACACAGCTGTTTCTGAGAGGCAGGGTTTACGTAGAGCTTTGTTTGGATTTGAGGTTGTAGCTTAGAAACAATATTCAAATTAAAACAAGAGTTTATTGGCCATAAGGGGCAACTCTTTAGTCATTAGTAAAACTGTGTGTAATACAGGCCCAGAGTCACATGGATCTCATGAGACTGTCATGGTTTGATAAACTTGAGGGAAAATATTACAGTTTCATGGTGTTTTTTAAATGTGTAACCTGATCAGATTGCTTTTATTTATAATTCATTAATAGCTGTACTACTGTTGAAAATCTAACACATTAGTTATAGCAGCTTTAGTTTCTTAACACTGCAGAACCATGTCCTTTGGTTAAAACCATCACAGTTTAAGAAATGTTGATGTCTCCTGTTGTGTTGCAGACTTATTTCTATTTACAAAAAACACCCACAAAACTCTTTCATTATTAGATTCTTCTCATGTCAAACTGCACATAAGCTTGTATATAACTTTTAAGGGTTAGGTCTGTTTAAATCAAGGGAGCCTGATAAGAACAAAATGACTCATTTGTCTTGTCAGTGACAACAAAAGAAAAACTAAAACAGCAACATCAGAGCAGCCTCTGCAGCCTGCTCAAAGTGACAGCTTGTCTTGTTAATGTCAGAGCTGCCAGCCGCCTCTAAAATCTTTTAGTCTTTCTTCCTTCTTTACTCAGTGTCTCCATCTTGTTACTTTTTAACATCCTTTTCGCAAACGTAACTTTTCCAGTGTAGATCAGTTAGGTCCACTATGTTTATTTCCCTCTACTAAATGCCAGAATAAGGATAGAGAAAGTTTTACTTTCTTCAAATTCAGAAGTTTACCCACACTAAATTTACTGTTCATTGAAACAATTTGGAGAAATCCCAGATGATAATGTAATGGCTTTGTTAATGGCTAAGTTTCCTGAATGAGGTGCACACCTGTTGAAGTATTTAATGAAAACAGAGCAAACACTCTGCTTCCTTGGAAACATCTAAAGAGATTAGCCAAGATTTTAGGAACAGAATTGTGGACCTGTATGGTTCATCCTTGGGAAGAATTTACAGATGCCTGAAGGGACCACTTTTAATTGTACAAACAGTTATATTCGAGAATAAACAGCATGGGAATGTCCAGCAGTCAAACTGACAGACTGAGCACCAGAGATAAACCTGTTTCAGTCCCACAAAGCAGGTAGAAGACCTTGTGAGGATCCTGGTAGATGCTGGTGAAAGAGTTTCATTAACACACTGAGGCCAGAGGAAGTAATTTCTCCAAAGGTCACATTACAGTTTGCAAATGCACACAGGGACAAAGACCCTCCTTTTTGGACACATATCCTGTTGTCTGATGAAACAAAAATTAAAGTGGTTGGCCACGCTGACCATTGTGGCATTACTAGAAAAAAAGATTAAATCTCATAAGCCTGAGAACACCATCCCAGATGTCAAACAAAGAGGTGGCAGCATCATGCTGTGTGAGTGTTTTGCAGGAGTGACTGATAAACTTAACCAAATAGATGGCATCATGAAAAAATATTGTAGTCAGTCATTTTCTACCGCTTATTCCATAGTGGGTCATGGGGGAGCTGGTGTCTATCTCCAGCAGTCTATGTGCAGGAGGCGTGGTTGCCAGTCCATTGCAGGGCAACAAACAAACAACCATTCACACACGGCAATATAGAGTGCCCAATTAACCTAACAGGCATGTCTTTGGGAGGAAACCGGAGTACCCGGTGAGAACATGCAAACTCCATGCAGAAAGATCCACGGTCAGGAATTGAACCCAGGACCTTCTTGCCACAAGGCAGCAATGCTACCAACTGCGCCACCGTGCAGTTGGTATTTCACAAAGTGGAAATAATGAAGCAACATCTCAAGATGTTAGCCATGAAATTGAAGCTTGGGCACAACCAGGTCTTCCAAACTGATTCTGGCTTTAAGCATAATATGAAGTTATTTAGGAAGGGCAGTGTAAATTGTTTTGAGTGGTTATCACAAAACCCTGATCTCAGACCTACAGAAAATTTGTGAACAGAGATGAAAAGATGCATTCAAGCAGACTGGGCTGCAAATCCAACTCCATTACACCACTTGTGTCAGGGGCTAAACTTAAAACTATTAACGTTTACCCAAAACATTTAACCTTGTGATTAACTAAGCCACAAGCGCTGTAGCTTATTTGAGAGGCGTTGTACTTTAGTTCATTACTGTGCCTGTCTTCTAAACAGGAGATCCTGGGTTCAAATCCCAGCAGTGCCTTTGACTACATTTGGTCAATCTATGTGAAATACATTTAGGGGGAGCGGTGGCCTAGTGGTTACAGAGCATAACATTTGTGTCCTAGAGAGGCCACAAGTACCCTTGTTTGAATCCCACAACCTGCCACTCTGGGTCCCTGAGCAAGACCCTGATCCTCTGAATGAAAGAAAAAGAAGTTATCAAAACTTGCTCCATAATTATTTTATATTTTTGGCAGTAGTTTTGTCTGATTTAATGTCAGACAAAGAGAAGCAGTTTTCATACAGTGTGTGTGATTTGCAGTCAGCTCCAGAGTACCCGTGTCATCTTAGACTGAGCAGAGGCAGAAGAGGATTGCAAAATGGCCACATATTTCTGAATTTATTAGTCATTACAGTCTGTATGAAATGTGACAAATGACAAGCTGCAGAAAGAATATCAAATTATAAACTAACAGTTGTGACTTATGATTCTTAGCAAACATTACAATGTGGTAATTTTTAATAAATTATTAACAGTAATAAAAATAAATATAATAATAAAATAACTCTTTTAAATTTGCTAGTCATTAAAAAGTTTTAATTTAGGCTCATTTTACCTTAAAGCAACTATACACATTTTGTTTTTTACATCTGTCTATGTTAGAGGTATCTCTGGCAACTGGTGGCTTTGTTTCCTTATAACTTGGGCCGACTCTGTTTCAGTGAAGCTTTAAATTATCTGAATTAAATTAAACTTTTTTATTTGTTGTCCTAACTCGCAGAACTCACATTGCTGAATAGTTTTTATTGCTCCTAAAAGCAAAGCAAGCTGCATTTGAATGGTAGCACTCTTTTGAAACTTTAATTCAAGGGAAACAAGGAGGTAAAGCAATTTATCACCTCCTGACACCCAATTAATTGGGATTTGGCTCCAGGTACATTTGGTCAAAGATCTCGGTATTGAAATTGAGCAAACAGAGCCCTTTTTGTCTTGCCTTGGTTACAGAAGACATTAGACATGTTCATTTTTGTCTGTATAATGATTAGTTACTCATGGGTTTGAATATATTTAGCATAATGGTCTGAAAAGATGGTTGACTGGCCTAGACATATAGACATAAACAATGTACACTAACAATATACTGACCATTTTTTTCTTATTTATCTGAAGCTGGCAGCAGCATAAAAGACAGTCCCATTATGACCTTGCTAAGTAGACTAAACATCTTCAGAGTAATTAATGACTATAAGGCCCTCTGGGGAATATTATATGTAATTTGTACCCGTCAGGTTTGTTCTGTTGTGGCTTATTGTTATGTTGTAAACAAAGCTTAAGTCATTTTCACAACCTTGACTCACTTTTGCTCCAAGAATAGGTTGATGAATGGTATAATCCTCTCTCGTGTCATTAGCACAGGGATGCATATGTCTCAGCATATTTGAAAATTCATGCTTAAAAGCTAGATGGATAATCTTGTTATTTTATAGGTATTGAAATGTTTTTCCATCAAGCATAAATTTGGTGATTTAGGCCAAACAGCTTAATTCTTGCTTTATCTGTCTCCAGCAGTCATTCCCAGAACAACAGTTGTTTTTAGTCTGGTTTCCTTCTGATGATTCCTACATGTGAAGGCTCCTTGTTTGTGCAATTACCTCACAGACAGTAAACCACCACTCCTGTACCTGATTTGTTGTGTGGTGTTTCTAGATTTTGTTGTAAATAAACCTGGTTGATAAATGGGGGATTTAAAGTTAGCATAACCCAAAAGAGCCAAATATCCCACATTAATGACCACCACACTGGTTTAGATAAACTGGAATGGTCATATTTACTGCATACAGTAGCTCATAGTTAAATCAACTCCAGCTGCTATGCTACTGCATTTTATTTAACATGTTTCTGTGTATCTTAAAATACTTTTAATGTGTAATGTAAAAGAAATGAAAAGCATTTGTGAAACAAAAACCTTAAAGTGGACAGTGCTTTGCTAAAGTATTCATAACCTGTGAGCATTTTCACATGTTTCTTTATATGGTAGATCTATTCAAAGTAGGGTATAAATGTTAAGGGGAAGTAAATCTTACAGATTTTTTCGTTCCTTTCAACAATAGAAATCTAGAAACTGCCTTTGTATTTAGCCCCCTTAGTCAATAGTTTGTAGAATCACCTTCCACTATAATTGTACCTGCAAGTCTTTTAGGGATGTCTTTTCCACCTTTGCAAATCTAGAGACTAAACATGAACTTGCTTTGTACATGTATGGCTTTTGTCTGGCTAGAAAGTGATTTAACAGGGTTTTTCCAGTTTTGCCCAGTATTTATATATCCATCTTTTCATCAACTTTGACCAGCCTGTCGCTGTTGGAAACAGCATCACCATGTTTCCGTCGCCGTGTTTCACTAATACAACGATTGGTTCAGGAAAAGGGCAGTGTTAGTTTTCCACCACACAACATTTTACATACATGTCAAGAACTTCAGTTCTGGTCACACGTGACAAGGACATCTTCTTTAAAATATTTGATGTGTCCCTTACATTGCTTGTGGAAAACTACTATTGGGACTTTCTAAGACTTTTTTTCTAAGCTGTCTTCTATAAAGACTATTAGTTGTGGAGGGAACAACTAATAGCCAAACTTGCACCAGACTCTTTCCATTTTTGAATGATAGATATAACAGCGTTCTGTGATATATTCAAAGCTTGGTATATTGTTTTACAACCTAACCTAAGCTTTAAACTTTTCCCCAACCTTATCCCCGACCTGTCTGCTGTGTTCCATAGTCTTTTATGCTCTTTGTTCACTGATGTTCCCTTACAATCTTCTGATGCATTCTCAGAATAACTGTATTCAGGAGAATAAACTATACACAAATTGACTATTTTCTAACTGACTTTTAAAGCCAGTTGATTGCACTGGATTATATAT